GCGATGATGATATATGATATATTGTATTGTATATGATATATGATGGAGAAACGAAAAGCTTTATGGTCAAGGATTTGCCAGGAGTTGTGCATGTCAAGAAGCTAAGTGTTTAAGTAGCAGAATTTCGAGCAGGAGAGTTGTATTTTTTTTTTTGTAGGGTATGGGGGGGGTATTGTGGTGTTTTTTTCTAGCCGAGTTGCAGTTGCTCATCAGAAAACGAAATATGTACTTGTAGGCAAGTGTATCGCCAGATACAGATACAGATTTACACCTAAATGCATAAGATATACTTAATTTATAGAACGAGTTATTGGATTACTTCGCCCAACTGGTTGTTAAGCTAATGATTGATTGTTGACAAGGAGGAAAAGTGTGCCAAGAAAATGGTGGGAAAGCGCTCTCCCACAAAACACAAACATACATACATATTTACTATATATATATATATATATATGTCTTTTAAATGTTGCTAACTTTGACAAGCGGCACAACGATGTGTGCCAGTGTTTTTAAACTTTCCCAAGCTACATACATACATATATGGATATATACAATACGATATATACACTAGATATATGCTAAGACATATTGAATATTAACAAATCAAATGCAAAGTTTATTGAATGTTAAATCAAAGTCAAAATACGAATTACAACAAAATCGGGATTAACCATAAAAGTTATAGCTGTTAAGAGCAGGGCAATTCTTCTGAGCCCCAAAGAATTGTGCCGAAAAAAAAAACAAACACACACACACACAGAGAAAACAAAAACGATTGCGGATCCTGATCTTGATCCTGATCCTGATCCTGCCTAGATATATAGACCCATATACCTAACCCCTATTTGTGCAAGTGTCCGTGCGTGTGTCTAGCAATAAGTTCATTTTTTCTCTACCGCTCCGCTGGCTGTTTGTTGTGGTGGCTCAGTGATGCGATGATGCGGTGGTGCAGTGGTGCCGCCGTCGTGGTGTGAGCAAAACTAATAAAAACAATTTTTATGTGAGTTGAACACACAAAAGCAAATCTCTCATTGACAGCGTTTTATTTTGGGCTTTTTGGAAGGTGTCCATCAGTGTACACCATCAAATCCCTTTCGGCTCTGCTCCAGCCTCTGCTCCCTTGGGCCATCGGTTTGTAAGCCTACACAGAGAGAAAAAATAATGTGATTTTACTTATGACCAAAAAGTCGCATAGAAGAATTAATTATTATGTAAATACTATGCACTATTTAAGGATAAAGGGATTATCAATGCTAATTATTAAATCAATTAGGTTCCCAAAGTAATCGCTAAAAAAGTTTTTTTAATAAATTAAAAATCTTCTTGTATAAAAGTGAAACAGCCAAATTGAAAAACAAATAAATAAAGATCACAGTGGACCCTTAAAAATGTAAATCTCAAGTAACAATAATGTTTTGTCCCTGGCTATAATTTCGAAAAGATACCTAAATAAAAAAAATGTTGTGTAAGTAAAATGCTACACTCAGAAAATAACCAAAAGACCTTATGACCACCATTTAAAGAACAAAAATATCTTTTATTTTTGAGAAATGAACTAATTATATAATTAACTAATCTTACCAACTAAAAAAGTTAAAAACTTCCAAAATATTACCTTGTTTTTAGTTATGTGGTTAGTGCATCGTGTTATAGTGCAGCAATATTGAAAAACAATTGTCTTACCAGGCTATTGGTTTATAAATATCTATTGGACTTTGGAAGTTATTTTTTTCTCTGTGTATGGTCTTGGGATCCGGTGTTTTGGGTTTTGGGCTCTGGGTCCTGGGGTGGCGCGCACCTCAATAAAATCCGTGCAAATGCTGAGCCAGGCCCCGAAAATAATACGCGCCAGCGGGGAGCATTCCGCCCCGGGGGAAATGTAAAGGGAAATGGGAACGGCGGGGGAATAGGTCCCGGAATAGGGTCAGTGCGCGAGTTCAAAAGTTCACCGCGGGGCCACTGACTACTGACTACTGACTACTGACTCAGCCTCCGGACTGAGAACTGCGGACTACGGACTACGGATTGCGAACTACGGCTCCGGTTGCGTCCGTCCACCCGTGACCTGACCCAGTAAAATGATTAAGTGGCGTTATTTAGCAGCTGGCTGGATTTACTTGACTTGCGAGCTCCACTTCCAGTTTGTCTCCATTTGTATTTGTTCGTTCATCTCTCTTTCTCTCGTTTTATTTTTTCTTTCTTGTTCTTGTTTTTTTTTTTTTTTTTTTTTTTTGGGGTCTCCTCCTTTTTTGCATAATTTGCGCTGTATATTTTGATGGCTTATGGGGGGTAATCGTAAAACGACAAGCATTTCATTCGGAAAAGTCAACTTTAATGGGGAAAGCAGGCCCGAAATGATAGTAATACATAGTATATATACAAAAGGGAATGCAGCCAGGCCGAAAGTTAGAAGTTATGGCTATTAAACGTGGTGCCATGGGCATTAACTACGGCACACGGTTTTGGGGTCACTTTATGGTGGTAATACGACGTATGTATATACGCTGCCAACTTTCAATCGTGTGAAATGCGCTTTCAATTACACGCACACGCACACGCACGCACAGTCGTTTAATGAAATGCGCAAATAAATTTATGACAATCACGTATCACGTATACGCAACGGTGGCAGGTAAGCGCGAGCTCTTAAGTGACCATTACACACTACTAACCAGGTCTCCGCTGCTTTCATAATCGACGCGGCCAAATCTCTTTGGGCCATCAAAAGTGCATTCCAATTGAGCCGATTTCTGGCCTTAACCCCGCTTCCGTATCTCAATCGGTTTTTTTGCTAAGCCTTACACCGCGAGAAAAGCCAATAAAATGCAGTGCACTTCTTTTTGACATTTCACATCCTCTTAAAGTGGTGTTAAAAACCTTTGTGCTAGTTTTCGCCAGTCAATTTAATAGCTTCATGGCACTCTTTTCGCCCTGTGTAGCCAGCGTATGCGAGTTTCGCTTTTGGGGCTTCTTAGGCATTCCCGGCACGTTCCTATAAACAACGTTTTATGCCGGTGTTTATGTTTAGTTTGCCGTTCACCCCAGCGGGGGCGGATTGTTATGTAAGTGCCAAAGAGCATATTCAATTTGAATTGGAATTGGAATTGGAATTGCCATCTACATGTCTCCTGTCTCCCCTTGTTGTTATTGCTTATTCCATATTCCGCACGCGGACACAAAAGTTTAAAGAAAGTTATCCACGCAAAAAGTTGAAACAAAACAAAAAGAGGGGAAAATTAAAATAAAATATAAATTGAAATTGAAATTATGGAAAATTATAATAATGGACGTTTGTCGCTTTGGGGTAGTTACAAAAGTAATAGCTATGTATATGAAGTGGCTTTGGTGAAATAAGTTGATTTGTTTGTCTGAAATTTATAAGTCTACCATTTGTATTGAAATTTGTTTCAATTAAATAAGATTTTGGTATCAAAATAATGGTAAATTATTCTTGAAATTTGGAATGTCATACCCCATTGAATTATTCATAGTTTTCAATCGATGGCCATTCTTAGATAAACAATTTAATTTTAGTCAATTTTCGAAAAAAAAAACATAATGCAACTTATTCTTTATAAAAACGTGAAAATATACCATTAAATAAATTTTGTTTAGGTCATCAGCAACACTAAACAATCAGTATTTTGGCTGTGCGACGTATTTTGTCAAAGTCCAATAAACTTCTTGGGCTATAATGGATGTCAGGAAGCTAAAACTTTTTCTTTGGGATTTTTTTTCAAGCAGACATCTTTGATCTTCATAGTCTTAAAATTTAGTTTGTAGAGCTTGTAATTATTTTTGACTTCCCTTTATGGTCTTTCAAGGCTCAAGCTTTTACTCAAATTCTTTATTGCATTTTTTGGCCACGTCTTGTTGGCTTATTTAAGCCGTTTCGCGACAAAAAAAAAAAACAAGTGGAGAGGTCCGCTGCTGTTGGACAATCCCCAACGAAAGGTGGTATAAAACCAGCGTTGTGTCGGCGGGCGCTGCACAGTCAAAGTCAGCCATTAACCATCGTCGGTCGCGAGTCGATATCGATATCCACAGCACGGTTTCACTTTTAGCACGGACTCAACGGGAGCCGGAGTTCCAGCAGCCAGCATTCATTAGCTTCTCCACTGCGTAAATCATGTTTGCAGTGGCCTTGACGCTGGCGGCCTTGGTTTTGGCCGGCCAGCAGGAGGTCTGCCGAGCACAGGTCTCCATTCACACGGACGCCAACACGAATTCCTACAGCCTGAAGACACCCGGACTGCAGCAGACCTTTACCCGGTATTACGGAGGAGCGGCCAAGGCGGCACAGCCCCAGAATCCTTCGCAGGAGGAGCAGCCCCAGGGGCAGGAACAACTGGTGAGTACTTCTCAGCAGGCAATGCCCAGATATTTCTGCGAATTCCCATTTCTACGAATCAGCCTTTACAAGCTTAAATAATGCTCTAGGAATTCCGGAACTAGTTTTCCCTTGTTTTAATATTTATTCAATTAAATTAACCTTTTACCTGCATATTTGTACGCAGAGGCAAAATTCCAAATAATTTTTGGTCTCTATTCTTAGATATTTATATTTTTTATGCAGCAATTTAGGAGCTATTTCTCTATTATTTTAATGTTTATAAAATGTGTACCTACCTACAAAGAAATTCTACGAATTAATAACGATTCAGGTATTTAGTTACTGCATATTTATTAGCGCAGGCAAACGTGAAAATAATTTTTGTTCTCTATTCTTAGATATTTATACATTTATTTATACAATGCACTAGGAATTTCGGAGCTAATACCTAAATAAAATAAACAAATACCTTAAGCAAAATATAATGCTTTAGGTATTCAGGTACTGCATATTTATAAGCAGAGGCAAAACTAAATAACATTTTGGTTCTCTATTCAATGATATTTATAAATAACTTGACCCTTCTTTTAAGTGTTATTTAACCTGTATTAGATAGTTATGTGCAATTATTACAATTGATTTAATAAAAATAAATACAGGTTTTCCATGAATTTCGAATAATATTTTATTTATTTTGGATACTTTTCTTATTTTTTTACTACCGCTCAATTGTTAGTAACATTTGTCAGGAAATGAGTATGATGTTTAATCAAACACTATGTAGTTTTTAAATTAAAGTATAAATATAAAAACTATAACATTTGCATTGTACCTCGGCATGGTTCTTGTTTTTTAAAACACTTTGTTACTTAAATATGTACGTAAGACCAGTATTTTTCCAAGTACATTTAACTACAATGACAAACGAACTCAACTGTCAATTTAATGTTTAATCAAGCTGCGTTTACATTTAGTGTCAGTCAACCTGCGGACATACAAAAAAGTACTAATGTCCTTAATTTCTGGCCGCACTTGAGCGACGTCGGCGTCCCAGGGGCATTTCCATGACCTCGCCGAAACCCAGTTTAATACCTCCAGTCATCCTTTCACCCAGAACCTCGATACTCTGCTCGTTTTTCAACCCGCCGCCATTTTCCATTAGCTGCTGCATTTGACCCACGGCCAGCATCACGCCAGTACCCAAATCCTGGCAAGGAAATCACAAATCACAAATCACTTATATGTAAATCTCCAATGTTAATTCCTATTCAATATTACCTGAGGCCAGGCGGTGGTAATGCCCGAAAGTAGTAGACTCAGACTCAGGCACAAAATAGGCGATGTCATCTTGTTTTGATTTTCAATTGCAAATAAATGCTGTCCGTTGAGTAAGCCAGCTATTTAAGCTGTGAATCTAGTTTATTACACAATATATTGACCGATCTAGATTGAAGATATATGTGTTATTAAACATGATATTCGCTTGGCATGCACAATTAATTTACCCACACTTTTCCAGTGAAAATTATTTACCTTATTAAAACGGGAACCACAAAATAATCAGTACTCTGTTGTTGTTTAATTTAAGATTTAGAATTTTATAATTTTAATTTACTTTTTGATTAATTTTAACTTTACTATAATCATTATTGCTATGAAAGTAAATTTTTTATATTTTAATTAATTTTGGATTTACTAAAATAACTATTGCTGAAGAAAGTAGTCATTAATTTTGTGGGTAGCCAAATAAAACTCTTTTATTTAGAAATATAAATATATTTGCAAAGTGATGGTCACAAATTTTAGTGGTCGACCTCGTTGGCTGCATTGGGATCCGTAGGGACGGCAAATAGGTTCTTTAGCTCCTCGAAGTAGTTCTTGAAGGAGTCCACCATCGAGTGCCAGGCCTGGGTTATATTCTGACTAAATTCCCGGGCCGCGTCCCCGATCCGCTTGTCCAGCCTGGGTTCATCGGGATAGACCAGATGGGGTCGCACATCATCGTACTCGTTGGAGTAGTCCACATCGAATTCCGAATCCGCCCAAGCTGTAGGGGTCACCAGGGCGAGGGTCACCAGGGCAAGGGCCACAATTAGTGGGACAGAGAAGCGGAGTCCGGAAGTCATTTGGCCAACTGTTTTAGCCAACCGCTTGAATGCGCCTTTTGTACTCCGCCATCCAATCCAATCATCCAATCAGATCTTCTGGCCAGGCACGGAAATGATGTTCGGCGCGTGTCGAGATGCATCTCATCTGGCCGGAAGCGCCTGTTCATCGTGACTCGGCCAGTTCTGCTAGCCAATCTCCCATCTGGACAGCTGGTAATTGCCGTGCCCCGCCTACCCCGATGCCCTCTACTTTTGCACTTCGGACCACTTTCGATCGCATTGCTCAGATATGGCGGTGCGCCCTTTCATTGCATTTACGTAGCAATAAATTCATTGAAATTACACAAAATCTAACCCAATATACAAATCAAAATTTATATGCTGATTTTTAGAAAATAAAACCAAAAGTTAGGGACTTAGAGCTGCATGTTTGTAAGCACTTTTCAGCAAATCAATTTTCGGACATTTAGAAAGGGGTTATTACATAATGAAAATGTCAAGAAATCGATCCGAATTTGCAAACCAAAATTGAAATGCAATTTTTTAGAAAACTTAAACACAATCTTTCACAAAGAAACCACTTCAAAATCGGATGTCTATAAGAAAACTTCTGGATTTAAATCTGAAGGCTTTTGCTCAGTTTTCGGCAAGGTAATTTTTCGGAAATTTAGAAAGGGGCCATAAAAAATTATGAACAAAATTTTCTTTAAATAGTTTTCGGAAATTTTAAATTATTTATTTAAAAACTTCTTAAAACAACAAACAAAAATTAAGGTTTTGCAGATATACCACTACAAAATCAAATGTCTCAAAAAAAAAAAAAAAAACAAATGAACCTAGAATTACAGGATTTTGCTTGCTTTTCCGCTGATCAATGAAAAACTAATCACTTTCACCATATCCGCAGCCATATTAATTGATAAGAAAGTAGTGGGATTAAAATCGATTTAGTTGCCGGGCTCCATTTGCTTTTATTGCACTTGATAACAAAAGAAGAAAAAAAACTACACTTAATGGGAGTTAGGGGTTTGTGGGTTTCCGGGTATCGTTTTTTAGCCCGTAGAGTTGGCCGAATCGGAGATCTTCTGGCGCACCTGTTGCACCACTTCCGTGACGTTGTCCACAAAGGTCAGCCACATGGTCCTCATCCTGTCGCCCAAAGCGTCGCCCGATCCCGTTCCTGGTGGGGTGGTGCCCATCGGTGTTTGGCGCCGTCGTCGGTGCAACTTCTTACTGCCAGGAGTCACGCGGGATCGGGAGGCGTTGTTGGCGGCCCGTCTCTGGGCCCTTCTCCGCCTGGCCTCCACTTCGCCGTCGTCGGGATTGGCTGTGGTGGCGGGACTGCCACCGCGCATCATGAAGCACGGAGCTCGTCTGCGGCGATGCAGTCGATGTGGGCTACTCCGTTTCCTCCGGCGACGATCCTCCTCCTCGGAGGAATCCCCTGCCGCATGAGGCCGCATGGCATCGCCATAGCCCAGGGCCGTTTTCGAGTGCACGGACATCAGGGGATTGTCGAAGTCGAGATTACGGGTGAGGGCACCACCACCCTGGACGGCCTCCGCCAGATTTCCAGCCAGATTCATGGCGCCCAGGCTTAGGCTCTCGAGCGGATTCTGCTGTGGACCTGGCCTGGCCGCAATCATGGCCAGACCGAAAGCCATCAGGAGGAGTCGCAGCGTTTGGCAACTCATCGTTTTGCACTGTGATGCCACGGCTTTGCAACTGGGCCTTTTAAACCGGCCATCTCGCGTGATCCCCCGACCCAAAAAAAAAGAAAAAAAAATCGATTTTATCCGATTTCGGGGTCTAGATCGCAGCAGGCTTCCGGTTTTGGCCCGATGACGGGTGACAGGTGTCACGGGATCCGGACGGAAGCTACGCCTCAGTCTCACTTGCTCGCTTAGTCGGTTCAGTTCGGTTCGTTTTACTCTGTCTCTCGTTCTCGACTTCGATTAAAAATTGTATCAAAATCTGAAATTACCCCACTTTCGGCATAAGCAATTCAGTTTCTCGCGGTTTCCGTTCAGTGCATTCCACAAAATGAGGACCACAAAGGCTCGCGGTGGCAATGGCCATGGAAATCGACTGGTTAGTGAAGAAGGACAGTGGGGAAAGGGGCAAAGAGGCACCCAGTTTGCAACGATGAAGGATCACGGTCATCTATCCGTAAGTCTGGCAAACATTTACAAGTTCTTTTACATTGGATTATCTAAAGAACTAGAAATATTAGCCACAACACATTAAAACACGATAACTAAAATCAAAACACTATTGTCAAGTGTATATTTTTTATAAAATGTGGTCTCAAATAAAACACAAAGTCTACTTTAGTATGCCTCAGTCTTGACTTTGAAGTAGGATTAGCAAAAGTTTATAGCAGAAATATTGGAAATTACTATAGGGACCAGCGTAAACATGGTAAAAGAGAAATTTAAGGGCATAGTTAGTTAATAGTTAATATAAATGTCTAACTACTGAATTAATAATATTTTAATTAAATATTATGTCACAATATCGAATACAATGCATATTAAATAAAATATTTTAACAAATGTGGAAAATATTATATTTAAAATAGTTGATAGAAAACTTAATTTTAGCTGTGAGTGAATAAAAATAGAATTGTTTAGTTTTTTGTTGTTAACAGTGCTTATGCCGTCTTCCTTTGCAGCAAAATGCCGCCCAACTCGGTGGATTCTCGTCGTCGGGCCAACAATATCCTGCCGTCTATGCCCAGCCAGGACTCCGGGCCGGGGGCAGGCTCAAGGCCACGCCCATCTCCCTGCTGCAGCAGCAGCAGCAGCAGCAGCTCCTGGCGCAGCAGCAGCAGCAGCACCAGCTCCTGGCCGCCGCAGCGCCCCAGGGAGCGGTGCCGTTGGCGGGAGCTGGGCCGGTAACAGGGGGCGTGGCCAATATGCCCAGCTACGCGGACCAGATGCACGCCGCCTTCCTCGACTATCAACGCCAGCGGTCGGAGTTCGAGCAGCAACAGCAGCAGCTTCTCCAGAAACTCTACCACTACTATCCGGATGTCTCTGGCTCTTCCTCGCTAAATCCCGCCCAGATTCAGACGCAGCCGCAGCAGCAACCGCAACCGCAACCGCAGCTGCAACCCCAACCACAGTCGCCGCCCTCCGATGGAGCAGGAGTGGGCGTAGCAGCCAGCCGCTTTGCCTACCGTCGTCCGCAGTTCGGCAGCAATGGGCTGCAGCCCGGCCAGCCGGGACCATCGGTAAACTCGGTAGGACCACCGGCGGCATCACCTGGACCCCTGCGCCATGTGGCCACTGGCGCCGGCGCCGGCGACTTCTACTCCACGCAGCAGCACATGGGCTTCATGCAGCAGCAGCAGCAGGACATCCTGCGCGACCAGCAGCAGTCGGTGGCCCAGCAGTTCGCCACCAGCCAGCTGGCGCCCACCACCCGCCAGAGCTACGGCATGGCCGTGCCCATGTCCTCCGTGCTGGACTCACCCGCCTACCAGCAGTCGCCGGATGTCTCGCACGTCAGCTTCTCGAGCGGCAACCTCAACTACAGCTTCTAGGAGGAGCCAACCCCATGACTTCTACATATAACTAGTGTGTTCATATACTTTTCTCGGAGCTCTTAAGTTTTTTTTTTTTTTTATTTTTTTTTGCGTAAATTTTCGTGGTATTTGATAAGAGGAATTGTGTAAGGGCAAGCAAGAATAAATTTTTGTAAGTGACGATATATAAATGTTTTTAATTGGAGGGCATGGAAGTAATTGCGGGGTTTCAGAGAGAAAGGCTGTAAAGAACTTTCTGCCATTTAATTCTTTGCCAATATTTTGAAAAGCCTGGGAAATAATGGTGAGAAGTTTGAAAATATCCAATCAAATGGCATTCTCAGCTTTACAAAAAAGTCAGAAATTTGGATATAAATAAATTTTTCAAAAAACGTTTTTCAGAATTGGGTTTTTGTGGCAAAACTAAATTAATTGTTTTCAATCGATCAGGAATGGATGGTATGGGCTGCCAGCTGTTCAAAATAGCAACTCTTTTGACTTTGGGTCTTATTTTGGCAAAGTTACAACAAAAAGACTCTTCAGAAATAATTTGGTTTGGAAAATCTCCAAAAACCCAAAAAAACACATTAAAAACTTGGTTTTTGTGTCAAAACCGTGGGAATAATGGTCAAAATGTGGAATGTCATACACCGTTGAATTCGTAATAAAATTTCCAATCGAATGGCATTTACCGTTGAAATTTTTCCAGATTTTCAAATTTCTGCAAAAAATGATGATGTACCCCCTTACAAAAAAGTCAGAAATTTGGACAAAAATAAATTTTTCAAATAACGTTTTTCAAAATTCGGTTTTTTTTATCAAAACTAAATTTATTGTTTTAAATCGATATGGGACGGATTCTATAGGTTGCCAGCTGTTCAAAATGGCAACTCTTTTGACTTTGGGTCTTATTTTGGCAAAGTTACAACAAAAAGACTCTTCAGAAATAATTTTGTTTGAAAAATCGGCAAAAATCCCAAAAAACACATTAAAAACTTGGTTTTTGTGTCAAAACCTTGGGAAATAATGGTCAAAATGTGGAATGTCATACACCGTTGAATTCGCAATAAAATTTCCAATCGAATGGCATTCTCAGCTAAAATTTTTTCAGATTTTAAAATTTCTGCAAAAAATGATGATGTACCCCCTTACAAAAAAGTCTGAAATTTGGACAAGATTAAATTTTTCAAAAAACGTTTTTCAGAATTCGGTTTTTGTGGCAAAACTAAATTAATTGTTTTCAATCGATCAGGGATGGATCATATAGGTTGCCAGCTGTTCAAAACTGCAACTCTTTTGCCTTTGGGTCTTATTTTGGCAAAGTTACAACAAAAAGACTCTTCAGAAATAATTTGGCTTGGAAGATCTCCAAAAACCCAAAAAAACACATTAAAAACTTGGTTTTTGTGTCAAAATCCTGGGAAATAATGGTCAAAATGTGGAATGTCATACACCGTTGAATTCGCAATAAAATTTCCAATCGAATGGCATTCTCAGCTAAAATTTTTTCAGATTTTAAAATTTCTGCAAAAAATGATGATGTACCCCCTTACAAAAAAGTCTGAAATTTGGACAAGATTAAATTTTTCAAAAAACGTTTTTCAGAATTCGGTTTTTGTGGCAAAACTAAATTAATTGTTTTCAATCGATCAGGGATGGATGGTATGGGTTGCCAGCTGTTCAAAATGGCAACTCTTTTGACTTTGGGTCTTATTTTGGCAAAGTTACAACAAAAAGTCTCTTCAGAAATAATTTGGTTAGGAAAATCTCCAAAAACCCAAAAAAACACATTAAAAACTTGGTTTTTGTGTCAAAACCCTGGGAAATAATGGTCAAAATGTGGAATGTCATACACCGTCGAATTCGTAATAAAATTTCCAATCGAATTCAGTTGCTGAACAATATATTGCGTATTTAAGCTGTATGACTTTTTGTCGCCATTAATTAATCTTTAAAATGTTGAAAATAGAGCTGACATATTTTTCCATAATCCCACTATATATTAAGCCAAGGTATGATTTTTTGCGAAAAGTTTTTAAGTTCTTTTGAAAGTCCATCCAACCAGCGGCAAGTGCCTCAATCGAGTATTTGGCCAGCTTAATGGCCATGTTTTGAGATATATCATGGCTAATGATAACACTTAAATAAACGGCATTTATATTGGCAGTGACAATCTGCGCGCTCATCTCAAACGAGCGCAATCGTGCTCACGTGCAATAATTGTTTTAATGTGTGCCTTGTGCCGTCTTTGCAACCGTAATTGCGTGCTGCCATTGAATCTGTTTATAGAGTTTATAATCTCGTCGGAGCTGCGAACTCCTCATCGTTTTGCACACAATATACACACACAAATACACACACCCACTTGCAGAGCCATTTATCCGTGCGGACCGAACCGCCACAGCCACAGAGAATTTCGATTGCGGGGGTTATTAATAGATATCCATGGAAATGTGGGGCCCACCTCCCCGAGGCTGAATCTGAATCTGAATCGGAATCTGAATCTGTATATAAATCTGTATCTGAATCTGAATCTACCCCTTCTTCAATCGCCTCGGGCCACAGAGAGTGAAATGAATCGGCTAGGCTTCCCGGAATGGCGGAGGAATGGAATTTGGGGGCCAAGTAGGGACGCAAACAGTGCAAACATACATGGCGAACAGCGAATACTTTGAGTGGCTCCCTGCCACGTGTGCATCCATATCTGCACTGTGCGAAATAAAGTGCGCCTAGCGAAGCGGATTTTGTTTGACTATACAGCAAGCAACAAAAAATTTGCCTATGAAGAATCAAAACTTGGAATATCATTACTTACATTCTAATTTATGGAGCATAAAAAACTTCTTGTTAAGATATTTATTAACATAAGTCTTTCGAAAGTATCGAAATAAAAATTTTCCAAAACATAAAATTAAATATTCAATATAAGATCTTTAAATAATTTATCAATAAATTAACGGCTTATTTTTAATATATAGAGGTGTCTAAAAATATGCAATAACAAATATTTCGTGGTTATTTAACAGACTTTCGGACTTAAAATATATATTGGCATACTTTTAGATTCCTTTATAATAGATTTCATAACACAAGTGGTCAAAAGCATTAACATGCATAAGCTTTTTTACATTTGATTTGTGTAAATACTTTTTAACAACCCCTGTGTGTAATATTTTTGTTTTTGGTGTAAT